CCCGCCACAACGGCCGGCTATTTTTGTTGTTACAATTTGGCCAGGGACGGGTTTGAACGCATGACCCTCGGTATATGGGGCTGGCGCCCTAGTCTCTCTTTTTAAAATCATCTTGTGAGTCTGTCTCTTCTACTAAGCAACCAACTTTGAATATTTGTCTTTGTGACTTTGGTGTCAGCTTTTTGCTCAGTTCCACCCTCTTTTTCAGGTTGAGGCAAGTTGTAGTTTCATCAGCTATATGAAATATACTTACTTTCATGCAAAGAGACCCTAATTCATGACATATTCTAGCATTATTCCCCCTCTACTTCCTCATCCATTTGAATATTAGTCTCTTGAAAGTCCCACTTCAAAGTCACCTGTCTATGAACTATCCTTGTTTCTCCCAGCCTTTAGGATTTTTTTTTCCTTTAACTAAGTAAGTGCCTTACTTTATTTTATTGTGAGTTTAACTTGCCTCAGCTCAGGGACCAAATCTTACTCAACTTTTTAACCATCATAGCACCATATGTAATGCCTCTTTTTATTACAGATGCTTGATAATTATTTGGTTTTCTTATTTCATATCAGTAGTGCTAACACTTATGATTACTTCTACACATTAACAGAGTGCCAGAAGTATTTGACCACTTGCCAATGAAATCTGAAGAGAAAGTATTTATAAGTTATTGTTGTAGGAAGTATAAAATATCAAATCTGTTATGTAATTTATTGTTTAGTGTGTATCCAATGATATGTTTGACTGTTATGCAGGTTTATACTTCGGAGAAATTTACCTTTCTGTAAAATGGAAATGTGAAACAAAGCTTAAAGACTTACATAGCCTTAGATGATCAAGAAAATCTACATTTCTGCAACAGTATACTTAATTCCATATAAGACAATTATATTTAGTTTTTGTGATCTCTAACCCCCTCTGACTATTTTAAGGTTTGGATTAAAAGTTTCTAGAATTGGCTCGGCGCCTGTGGCTCAGGTGGCTAAGTTGCCAGCCACATACACCTAAGGTGGTGAGTTCGAATCCAGCCCGGGCCCGCCAAACAACAATGACGGCTGCAACCAAAAAAAATGGCTGGGCGTTGTGGCGGGGGCCTGTGGTCCCAGCTGCTTGGGAGGTGGAGGCAGGAGACTCGCTTGGGCCCAGGAGTTGGAGGTTGCTATGAGCTGCCACAGCACTCTACCTAGGGAGACAGCTTGAGACTCTGTCTCAAAAAAAAAAAAAAAAGTTTCTAGAATTGGCTAGGTTCAGTGGCTCATGGCTATAATCCTAGCACTCTGGAGGCCAAGGCTGGTGGAAGATCCCTTAAGCGTAGGAGTTCAAGACCAGCCTAGGTAAGACTGAGACCCCATCTCTACTAAAAAAAATAGAAAAATTAGCCAGGCATTGTGGTGGGCACCTCTAGTCCTAGCTTCCTCAGGAGGCTGAGGCAGGAGGCTCCCTTGAACCCAGGAATTTGAGATTGTAGTGAGCTAGGCTGATGCCACATCACTCTAGCCTGGGCATCAGAGTGAAACTCTGTCTCAAACAAAAAGAAAAAGAAAAATTAGTGGTTGTGATGGCACATGTCTATAGTCTCAGTTACTCAGGAGGCTGAGGCAGAACTGTTTGAGCTCAAGAGTTTAAGATTACTGTGAGCTAGGCTGAGGCCATGGTATTCCAGCCCAGGAAAAAAAGTGAGATGATGTGAAACAAAATTTTTTTTGTCCACAAATCAACACCAGGACATACTAAAACATAATATGTAATGGAGGCACAGGGAACTGGATAGTGGAGAAAGGGTGGGTGTGGTAAGAGGATGAGTTAGGAGCTTTTCATATTGAACTTGAATTAGGGGGTCACCATGTCCTAACTCCCTGGGATAAGTTACATGATAACCTCTCAATTTCAATTGTCTGGTAGAATCAAATGCTATCACTTAGGCTTGACTCCCATAGCTCAGTGGTTAGAGCACCAGCCACATATACCCGGGCTGAGGGTTTGAACCTGGCCCAGGCCTGCTAAACAACAATAACAAAAAAATAGCTCGGCATTGTGGTGGGCGCCTGTAGTCCCAGCTACTTGGGAGGCTGAGGCGAGAGAATTGATTAAGCCCCAGAGTTTAAGGTTGCTGTCAGCTGTGACTCCATGGCATTCTACTGAGAGCAACATACTGAGACTGTTTCAACAACAAAAAAAGGGGCAGTGCCTGTGGCTCAAAGGAGTAGGGCACCGGCACCATATACTGGAGGTGGCAGGTTCGAACTCAGCCCTCGCCAAAAACTGTAAAAAAAAAAAAAAAATGCTATCATTTCAAACAAGTTTTTGTGGGAATTAAACAAAAGAACCTATGTCAGTGCACATAGCACTATTCTTAGTGATCAGTAGACACTTGGTCGGTTCTGTTCCATTGTTTATGGTGATAGATAGCTGATGAGAAATCTTGATAGAGAACTAAATCCACGTTGCTTAGCAAAAGAAATGCAGGAAGAAAGTAAGGAGATTTGGCTTGGTGCCTGTGGCTCAAGCGGCTAAGGTGCCAGCCACATACACCTAAGCTGGTGGGTTCGAATCCAGCCTGGGCCGCCAAACAACAATGACGGCTGCAACCAAAAAATAGCCAGGCATTGTGGCAGGCACCTGTAGTCTCAGCTACTTGGGAGGCAGAGGCAGGAGACTCACTTGAGCCCAGGAGTTGGAGGTTGCTGTGAGCAGTGAAGCCATGGCACTCTACCCAGGGGGGCAGGTTTGGGGTCTTTTAAAAAAAAAAAAAAAAAGTAAGGAGATTTGATATATCTTTGAAGATATACTAACCCTCTTGAAATAATAAAAGAAATCAAAAGGTAAGGCCTACTGTGATCTGTATAAATTTTTTTTTTAAATAGGGGAGATAGACTATGAAAGTGTTTGTTGCTAGTGTTACACAAAGTAATATTTAAAATGCTTTATAAACATTACATCCTTAACATATAAATTGGTTGAAAGTATGATGTTTACACAGACGGTAGTGATCAAGTGGTGGGAAGCACATTTTTACCCTCTGAATAGAATAGGGCATTCCTCGTTAGTAACTTGATCTGATTTTGTAAAATTGAAGTGAAAATGGTGTTGTCTTCTTTTGCTGTTATCTTGGTAAACTGGCATAATCCCTTTGGAAGACAGTTCCGTGGTAAGTGTTCACATTATTGAACGTTGAGATGATCTTCCTATTAGGATCTTAAAGCTTTTGAAAGAACTGCTTACTCACTGGCTTTTTTGAGGAAACTTATAGGTTATCTATTAGGGGAAAGTACTTAAAAAGGGTCGTGCCGTCCTTTGGTAACTGGGATCACATCTGCACTGGGAACTAGTCACTGTCTATTGGAGTTATGGGGCTCATTTCATAAAAATTCTAGAACTTAGATGTGCTAGTAAACCTTGGCCCACAGAATAATTAACTGGTTTAGATAGTTCTCAAAGCTCCTTCTTTGAAATTTTGTACACTAATTACTTACAAGCCTGCTGCATTTTCTCAGGACTGTAATCTTTCAGCTGTACTCTCTGATCCCTGATCACTAGTCTTTCCCGCTCCTGCTTACCTGCCTTTGGTTCTGCCTGGGCAGCTGCCCTCACTTCTCACTGCTGCCACTGAACTGCCTTGGAAGGGGAGGTCCACCCCCAGCTGCTCATAGGCCCCTTTCTGAGCTATTTCCTTCAGCTGAAGGTGCTAAGCTGGCTTTCCCTTAATAATTAGAGGAGAAATAGGTTGTGTGTGTTTTTGTTTTTTTTTTTAAATAACTGAACAGTTAAAGAATTTTTCACCAGTGATAAAGATTGTCCCAAGAAAACACTTGGTTGTTTGTAAGTTATTTTGTTTTTGTTGTTTTATGAGAATAAATTGGCTTAGTATCTTGCACAGCTGAGTGGTCGTTTTCCTTGATTCTCCTAAGTATACTTTGGCCCTCCCTCTTACGTGAAGGCATTACCTATGCACCTTAGTGGCTGTTCTACTGGCAGCGGCAGGGGCAGCAGCAGCAGTAGCTGAGAACACCCTAATCTGTCTTTTCCTTTCTTTTCTGCACTTCTAACTATAGGGAAAACGCCCACAGCGCACAAAGGCAGAGTTGCAACCTAGGTGGATGTCTGGCCACCTCTCCGTCAAATCCATCAAGCAAGAGGTGAGTGTGGTGAGAGTAGCCAGGAGGAATTTTAAGTGTTCAGAAAGGGGCCAGGCTCGTTGGCTTAAGCCTGTAATCCCAGCACTCAGAGGAGAGGCAGGAGAATTACTTGAGCCCAGGAGTTCCAGACTGGTCTGAGCAAGAATAAGACCTTGTTTCTACTAAAAAGCAAAAAAACTTAGCCAGATGGCTTGTAGACCCAGGTACTCAGGAGACTGAGATAGGAGGATCACTTCAAACCAGGAGCTTGAGGTTGCTGTGAGCTAGGCTGACTTCACAGTACTCTAACCTGGACAACAGAGGAAGAAGAGCCTGTCTCCAAAAATCCCAAACAAACAACCCAAAAAAGTGTTCAGAAAGGATTGTTAACATTTTATTTCATGTACTTAATACTTTCTTATGTTCCTTTATTTTGTTCCCCTAAATCTCAAGCCTTTATTAAGCATTTTTATCCTTAAAATGCATTTCTACAAAGAAAAGGAACTTTAGGAATATAGCACCAGGCCACACTCTTTGGGATCTTACTGTTTCCTGGGAAGACAGGCATATTTACATTCAATCTAATTTACACGAGAATGATAATTGATACATGTGTAATAGAAGCTCCTGAATGCAAAGATGGAGCATTTAGAGCTGACCAAGGAAAGGCGAATTCACTTGTATTCAAGAAAAAACCTTTCCAGCATATTTGTTGAAAAAAAAAAACAAAAAAGAGAAAGAAAGAAAGGGGAATTGGGGCAGGCAGAGCTCATGGATCTGCACATTGTGGGATGGCTAGTATTTTGATCAGGGCAAGGGGGGTGGGGGCAGAGGGCATCCTACACAATAAGAATAGTAGAAACAAAAGCACAGAGGCGGGACATTGTAGAATGTGGTTAAAATATATATATACTGAGGTGTGTCTGGCATATTTTGCAATATATAGTGTGAGAAAATGCTGGAATGATCAGATTTTGGAGTCCTGATATCTTCAGTGGGCAGTAAGAGGAAGCTGTGTCATTGGGTCTTTAATTTAGGGTGATACCGCACTGGTCACCATGTGGCAAATGGCTTTATAAGGAAAAATGGGAAGTTGCGACTGAGTGATACTTCCAGCAAGTATCTGCAGAAGTTGCTGCAGTGGGAATGCAGGGCTAGAGTGAAAGAGATAATGACTTTTAGGGGAAATTGTTTTTAAGTACAGAATGGTAGGTATGGAGGTCAAGTTGCAAGGGGCCAGGAGTGAATAAAAGGTGAGTTTTTATAGATCACCATGTTAACCTGTCCTTTTGAGAAGTAATGACAATGAAAAAAACCAAATAATGAAGAAGTGTAGATTAAAAAATCAGGAAAGCTTGCAGCAGGTTTGTTTCTAACTGGAGATATAGCAGGGGCATGAAGAATGCCCATGGGTGAGAAAGAGAATGGGTCTGTCTGCTGTCTGGTAACGCAAAGGGCTTAAGTTGCGAGGCCTCGCTTTAGGGTACAGTTGATCACAATTCTCTTAAGACACAAGGAAAGCAAGAAAGGATAAATAAAGACACATCTGTTGAATGGGTGGGAAAATGTGTTTAGGTCCCGTGAAGAGATATGGGACCTCTGGTGGGAGTTTGAGATAGGATATTAGGTGAAAAAAAGACAATTTGGGGGACAACAACTAGTTATTTATAGAAGGGGTTTCCAGCAGCATCCAGGAATCAACTGTGTTTAGGTATTTTCATTTTGTATTAATATATTAATAATAATATAGCTTAAGAGTAGTTAAATGACATCTGGCATCATACTGTAGAAAGAGATGAATTTATTTTAAATACTATTTAGTATTTTAGACATTTAAAATAAACAAGGTGGTGGTGAGATGAGCTACAGGAAGCCTAGGTTGCTTGCTGGTGGTTAGTTTACCTGTGACTGTGGAGACAAAAAAGAGTGAAATAAGGATGAAGACAGGAATAAGGAAGAAAAGGCAAAGTAAAAGTGTTGAGAAATCTCCTCTTGATGCCTCTTCCTATTTGCAGAAGGTCTAGGATTTTATTCACTCAGTATACTTTGATTTTATCTGTCTGTTCTCTCTTAAACTCTTAGACACATTCTTGCCAGGGGATAAATTGCCCAACATTTAATTACCTAATTGCCTTTGTTTTAGCAGTTCTATAAAGACAAACTTTCCTTCTTGCCTCTAATAGCCATTTGGTTTGTGATGGCCTTTGGTAACCTGTATCCATCCCTCAAATGGTTTTCCAGCTCCTCTGGCCTCCTTGGTTTCACTCTGCTATATTTATTACCTTAACAGTTAACACTTTTATGGAAGCTAGCTTTCCTATTTTCTGTTCACTGCCCTGAGCGTTCCTAGATACCCTAAGTTACACTAAAGATTACAGAGTAATCAGGATAGACTTGAAAGATACTTCATTGCTGGCTTACTGTGCTGCCTGTAGCACAGTAGTTACAGTACTGGCCATATGCATCAAGGGTAGCTGGTTCGAATCTAGCCTGGACCAACTAAACAACGACAACTGCAACAAAAAATAGCTGGATATTGTGGTGGGCGCCTGTAGTCCCAGCTACTTGGGAGGCTGAGGCAAGAGTAAGCTCAAGAGTTTGAGGTTACTGTGAGCTATGACGTCGCAGCACTCTATGAGGGCAACATAGTGACTCCATCTTAAAAAAAATATTCTTCATTGCTCCAAGCAGAAGTTCAGCATAGAACACTAAATTTTTTTTATTCTTAGCAATGTTTTTTTTTTTTGTTTGTTTTGTTTTTGTTACTCTGCTCTTTAGTTGGAAATAGAAGAAACCATGGCATTATAGGGATTTGTAAGTAACTGTTACCGTGTCAGCAATCCTAGAGAAAACCTTAGCAATGGCCTGAGTTTTTGGTTTTTGTTGCTTGCTTGTTTTGAGACAAAGTCTCTGTTGCCTTGGGTGAGGGGGATGTCATAGCTCACAGCAATCTCAAACTCCTGGGCTTAACAGAACCTCTTGCCTCAACCTCCCAAGTAGCTGGGACTACAGGTGTAATGGCGTGAGTTTTGTGCTTTTCGTTTCATCGGCAAAAATCATCAGGCCTTTTAAAGCATGTAAGCAGGGTTTCTGGCCTCCACTGATTGCTCAGAAGTTCAGTCTTATTGCCTTTTAATTGTGACTTCTGGGGAAAATACCAGGGAGGGAGAGTATCACTGAACTCTAGTGGATTAGAGCTATAGCAGTAATTTTTGTCAGGAGACTTTGGACATTATCATTGCTACGGAGCTGGTTGTGATGATACAGTCTGGTGTTTTTTTGTTTGTCTGTTTGTTTTGGGACAGACTCTTACTGTGTTGCCCTCGGTAGAGTGCTGTGGCAACACAGCTCACAGCAACCTCAAACTCTTGGGCTTACACGGTTCTCTTGCCTCAGCCTCCCAACAGGCTAGTACTACAGGTGTCCGCCACAGTGCCTGGCTATTTTTTGTTGTTGTAGTTGTCATTGTTGTTTAGCAGGCCCAGGCTGGGGTTGAACCTGCCAGCCTCGGTGTCTGGCCAGAGCCCTAACCACTGTACTACAGGAGCTGAGTGTTACAGTCTAGTGTTTCTCAACCTTTTTTATCTCATGGCACATTCGAACCTATAGTTAAACTTCTGTGACTCACTTATGTGATAGTCATATGATTATGTTGATCAATAAAACGTAATACAAAGAATATACTTTGTGCTTTGAACTTCTTTTGAAAAAATGAATGATCTTGGGCAGCACCTGTGGCTGGCCTTATATACCAGAGATGGCGGGTTCAAACCCAGCCCCAGCCAAAAAAAAAAAAAAAA